TAATGTCACCACATATCTTAAATAGTGTGCCTTGTAACTCTGCTGACTTGGGAAAGCTACATACAATTTGACATTTTTCATTACTTTTAATGACACAGTCATGATAATTCTGCTGAAATGCTGACTGGATAGAAGAAGAGGATTTCTATAGCAATAGCAGAAAAAATTGTAGTAGAAGTGCAGTTTATGCCACAAAAATGTGGCTTTGATAACACTGTACACTAATGATAGCAAAATGCAGATATTCAAAAGACAGAAATGCACCTAGAGCCCTGCAGCCACAGTGACATCATTTGATCAAAATGTCTGCTCCACAAGAGTTTATTTGCCATTCAATGGTGATAAAAAATACATGGAATAAGAAATGGCACATAGTTGAGAATCTAAATAAACTGTTTATTGTCCTACAGTGAAGACTAAGAGCTTTAGGTACTGCCAAGGGAGGTCTTTTATTACAGATTCACAGAATCATTTGGGTTGGAAAAGACCTTTCAGATCATAAAGCATGACCATTACTAAATTCCTTTTTTCCATTGTTCATTTAACTCTAAGCTTTCAAATTGAAACTACTACATCAAGAATTAAATCTGCAGCTGACAATATAAAAACTCTGAAAGTGAGTGTGAAGCAAGCATGAGGCCAGGGGCTGTGTGAGCACTGGGGAGCTGTGACATCTCTTGGTGAAACTCCCTCCCAAGGGTTTAATGTGCCATCATTTGCCATGGAAAAGAGCAGCCCTTCTGCCTCGTGCAAGGTCAGAGCCACCGACCCCTGCCTTGCCAGCTGCCAACATAAACATCAGGCTGGCAAAGCACAACCTCTCGCTGCAAAACGGAAAGCTGTGCATGTGGAAGTCTGATATAAGCCCAAAAATAAGCAAGTGACTCTAAAGGGGACTACAGACGTAATTACTACAGAGAGACATAGTAAACATGGTTGGTTGGGGCAGATTTTGATTTTGAAAGGCACCACTCGGGATGACAACCACCAGCCCTTTTTAAAAGGCTGCAGTCTTATTCCATTATAAAGCCACATTTTGATCACTTTTGTTTTGCAGAAAGGAAGCTGACCTCAAATCAAAAGAATTGCCTTAAGGGCAAAAGAGAGCCTTTTCTTTACAGTACAGAAAATAACACGAACATCTCTTCTTAATTAAGGACCATTACAGAAAAAATTAACACAGAAGTTTGAGTTTGCCTTAGAATTTTATATCCAGGTGATACTAAAACTATCATATCACCACATCAAAATGAGTCTATATTTGGAACTGTATTATAAAAATTCTAAATTATCTTTGTGGAGGGAAAAAATGTGTGAGCAATATGCTTTAATTTGTAGTGACACACATAAAAAAATACAGGACCATGAACGGATGTCAAAATTGTAGCTTCACTAAACCAAGGCTGCATATCCAGAGCATGTTGAAAGGTGAGGAATCTTATTATCAGTGCCTTCTGGTAGACCAGGACATGTGTAAGATAAGAAAAAAAGGACCCAATAAAAACCACTAAACAAACACAAAAAAATGACAGTAACAGAACAAAAGGAAATAAAACAAGACTGAAGAAGGAAATAAACACCCCAGTCCCCCACCCGCCACAAATAAAAAACCCCAAAGCCCAAATCCTCATTGGTTTACCGTGGAAAAATTTGCCAAAATCAGCAAGTTTTAAAACAGTAGGTAGGAGTGTGTTGGATAAAAAAGAGGAATTCAAGATACTTCCTTAGGAGACTCATGTTTCCTGGATTTTACTTGCAGAAGAAAAAACTCAGCTCATGTTTTCTTGCAAAGAGGATTATGGCCATAAATTATCCTGAGGGTGCATGTTCTAAGAGATAACATGACATTACTAATTCTCTGTTAAAAAGGTCCTCTCCATCTGGTAGAGAAAAAAGGCCAGTTGTCAATATTGCAGGGTTTTTTTAATTTCTGGTTAACTTTGCTGGGATTTTTTTTTTGTTTTGTGTTTTTTGGTTTTGTTTTTTTTTTTTTTTTTTTTTTTTTTTTTTTTTTTTTTTGGTTTTTTGAGTTTTGTTTTTTTTAGTAACAGTCAACTCATGAACTGAGTTTTATCAACGAGCTGTCTTAGGAATCAACAAAACCTCCTCTCCCATCAAGCTCTGCCTGTGTTCTGACCACCTCAGATTAGTGTCAAAGAAACTATTTTTGTGTCTTATAAAGAACAGAAACCACTTTTCCATCCACACTAATATGCATCCAAAAAACTGTGGAGTAGAATACAGCTCATTCGCTCATGGACAAATAACATCTCTGGTATTACTTTCCATCAAACTGATTTGATTTTCTGAATACGTCATTCTTCACTCACATGATTACTTTTTAAAATAAATCAGATCAAGAGCTGTCTTTTCTTCCCAACAAACATGGAAGACATATGAACTGAATGTTAGAGAATTGGAACAGTTTGGGCAAAAAAAAAACAATGAGTCTTCTTCAATTCCTGTGTTATGAAGGTTTTCTGAAGCTTTTAATCATTATTTCACAACACAGTTACACGTGTTGTGTATCAAATCAATGAGACATTTCACATAAAACCCAAAATGCTGTAAACCCCAAATAAGGTACTGATAGATACATAACTTGCTCTTCCAGTGAAAAATACTGCAGAGATACTTGAGAACTGATAGGTGGAAATATCATCTAGATTTATTATTGTTACACCTGCATATGCCAGCCAAGTTCATAAAAGCACTGCAAATTTATTCCAAGTGTCAAAAAATAAAGAGGGTAGGGAATCCCATACCCTTTGCATTCCAGTTACAGAGCAGAGAAATTTTTTATTTGCTTTGAATCAAATGACTGATTGTTCTAAATAAGAATTTTCTACTGTGATCCAAATGAAAAAGGGGTTAACTTTCTTGAAAAATAAAAAAAAACAAAACTAAAACCCAGCATATTTGGTATTAAAATTTCAGTTTTTGCAAATTTATTACAAGTGTCAAAAAATAAACAGGGTAGGGAATCCCATACCCTTTGCACTCCAGTTACAGAGCAGAGAAATTTTTATTTGCTTTGAATCAAACGACTGATTGTTCTAAATAAGAATTTTCTACTGTGATCCAAATGAAAAAGGGGTTAACTTTCTTGAAAAATAAAAAAAAACAAAACTAAAACCCAGCATATTTGGTATTAAAATTTCAGTTTCCTACAAGTGTCCTGGCAGACCTTAGAGGCCACTACAAAGGTGGAGGAGGCCCTGGAATAAACAACAAACAGGAGCAGAATTGGAGAGGACACATAGGCACATATCAGCCTAAACAAGTGGAAAGGCATTTTGGACCGAGAGTCTTCCTAACTAGGCTGAGAGCAGACTTCCTTAGATTGGAATTGTCCAATCTTTCCTTCTGCTCCAGAAGTTGCTGATGCTGTTGTTTCTACTGTTACCTCCATCTTAGCACCATCCTCTTTATTCTAATTCTTTTTCTGCACAGCTGCACTGACACCTACACACCAGATCTGCTCTTAGGCAAGACCATGAAACACGGGAGATGAGGGAGGTTTCTTTTTTCTCTTTAAAGACCAGAAATGAACAGACATTGTTCAGTGCTTTGAAAAAACTCATGGCTTCAGCTTGCTCTTAAAACACATGGCATAGTCACCACGGCAAGTAATCCTCCCTCTGAAGAAGTGTAGTATAAAGCCAAGGTGTTTGGCAAGGCTATTCAGTTAAAGGGTAACACATCCTTTGGACAAAAATTCAGTTGGAGAACACAGAACAAAAACACACTGAAAACCTGGCAACTGTGAGAAAGAGACTCCACTTTCCACTACAAACACTTGCTCACTGTGTGGCAATGCTAAGCAAAAGAAAACTGCAAATACAAAAGCAGGGAACACTTGTAGAAATCTGAGCCCTGGCCTGTGAAACAAATATTTTTCTATGTGTATATATATGAAGAATTTTCACATTTATTTTTATTAAGATTATTTAAGAATGGCATTTCTTAATATAAAAACCTATCATAAGAGAACATCATCCAGAACAGCCCACAATAGAATTTGATTAACTTATACTCTCAGTTTGAGCAAATAATTGCAGATTACTCAGTTTACTCTGAGTTATGCTGATGGCTGTGTATTCTCTCCTCCTTTTAGCAGACTATCTTTTAAGCTGGTATTTAGGTAAGTATTTAGGAGCCTTTAGGTTCTAAGGCATTTAGGTAAGATGCATTTCCTGTCAAGGGATGTCATTAGACAAATAGAACCATTACTTACATAAACTTATCTCACTGTAATTGGGATAAGAAAATTAAAGTAAGGCTTCTGGCTTTGTGGTGCAAAAATAATGTCATTATCATTCTACCACATTTCCAGAGTATTTGACATTTCAATATATCCAGCAGAAAGGGTTGTTACTCATTGCCTTTGATATTGTTCAAAAGAAGTTTTTGTCATTAATTTTAATAAAGCCTTTAGGTTTTAAGGTATTTAGGTAAGATGCATTTCCTGTCAAGGGATGTCATTAGACAAATAGAACCATTACTTACATAAACTTATCTCACTGTAATTGGGATAAGAAAATTAAAGTAAGGCTTCTGGCTTTGTGATGCAAAAATAATGCCATTATCATTCTACCACATTTCCAGAGTATTTGACATTTCAATATATCCAGCAGAAAGGGTTGTTACTCATTGCCTTTGATATTGTTCAAAAGAAGTTTTTGTCATTAATTTTAATAATATTGTAAGCATGCAGCCTGATGTTAAATTCCTTTGCACTCAAAACTTCCATCCATTTACAAAAACAGCATCAATAAAAGAAGGAACACTAGCTTGCTTTCTAGTAAACCACAGTTTAGGATAAGAATCAACTGGCCATTAAAACCAGAACATTTTCATCTGCAAAACAGACATTTATTAAACTTGTCTTCATTATTTCATCTGGCAAATCTATGTCTCTGCAATCTTCAAGTCAAAAACAAGATAGAACGTGCTGCATTCTAAAAGAATGAGGAGAAAATAACTTCATTTTTTCTTACCTTTGCATTATAGGGAATATAATGCTTTGATAAGGCTTCAGGAGTGTGCATCCATGTTTTGTCTACAGAAAAGCAAAATAAAAGAAGCACTGAATAGGTTATTTGATTGTTAACTTAAGTATAACAGTATATCTGTGGAAAAGTTCAACACTCATCCTCTTACTCAAAAAACCAGCTGTCTGAAGTAGTTAGAGCTGCTGGAGGGAAATAATCTCACACCTACCCAAACACTTAGAAGAAAGAACCTGCTTCTTTCTGTTGGGCACACTTCCCATTTTAACCAATTTGATTTTCCATAAGAACTGCAACTCCTCCCCCCAAATGTATTAATTGGTCTGAGGCTGTTTGCTGGTTCTGCCTCAGATCAGGATTTTCTGCATCCTGCTGTTTAAAGCACTGACTGCATCTTGTGCATCTAAAGATGTTTTTTTGATCAATTATGTTCTTTTTCTGCAGAATTGTCAAGACATTAAAGGGACAAACAAAAAATTATCCAAGTTGCAACTGACAGAAGTCCTAATCCTTATAAAAGAAAAATGAGGCACATCAGAGAATCATACCTTTTAGATCTGATTTATAAGTTCAGATCATCTGTAATTTTTCCATACATATGCTAAAGAAATTTGCATATTTACCCTTTAACTTTTCCATTACAAACTCTTTTTCTGATGCACAGACATAATTCTGTAATTATTTGTCAAATACATCTTCTCCTCTTACTTTAATGGTCTTTTTGAATGTTCTACACAATTTAAGAAGAAATTCCAAACATTAAGAAAAAGCTTCTTTTTATTAACAAATCTTAGAAACAAATTTTCAAAGTTTTCTCAGTTGAGAGCCTTTAAGAAAACAAAAGCATTCCAAAATACTAATTTTCTTTACTATGCATTTGGGAGAATCTGCAAATCCAATTAATGTTTTATATGACAGATTGAACGTTTAGTAGTATTTTCTAACATCATACTATCCTGGTTTAAATGAGCATGAATTAAAGTCACAAAACTGGATCTTTATTGAGTTAAGTACAAAAACATTCCAAAATACTAATTTTCATTACCACGGATTCAGGAAAATCTGCAAATCCAATTAATGTTTTATATGACAGATTGAACGTTTAGTAGTATTTTCTAACATCATACTATCCTGGTTTAAATGAGCATGAATTAAAGTCACAAAACTGGATCTTTATTGAGTTAAGTAACAGAATAACAGCTTAAAGCAAAATTCTACCCTTAGATACTCAAGGGTAGAATTACAATTACATTTGCCTTTATGGGGAGTTGCAGTCACAGTAATTACTAATTTTTTTGTTAGTTACACCTAAGGACAATAAAGTTCTGTTCATTTCAAACTGCTGAAGAGCAAAAGCTGTGGCACTGATTGACATTACAGCAATAATTAAATATTTTAGATTATGCAGAAGCAAGAAAATGGTTAAACAAGTTATTCACTGGTCACCACAGTAACAGGATCAGAACTACAAAGCTGGGAGAATTCTTTTTTCCCTTAGCAAATTTCATTCTAGATGGCAGCAATGTTCAGCTCCATTACTGAAGAGTGATATTATCACTTCTTAATTAAGGAAGAATGATTTGCCCATTCAGCAGCACCCAGGAGGATGATTAAAGTGGCTGTTCCTTTTAACTGGGGCTTGTGATTGGACTGCCAGAACCAAGAAATCATTTCCCAGAATATTTTAACACCTGAAACCTGATCTCTACTTTAGCAGAGTATCAAAGGCTGATGTTATCTGAAAGTGCAAAAGAACCATCCCAGTGAATTTGAGTTAGGCCAGGAGGAATAAAGCCTGTCAGGAGATAAGCTGAAGCCCAGCCAAGCAGCTGGTCACCAGGCTCGCTGGCAAGGCCAGGCAAGGGAGAGCTGGCACTCAGGACAGGGTGAATTCCAGCTGCTCCAGGTGCAGCCACATTGCTAATACCAAGGGTTGATTTACCTAGTTCCTTCACACTTCTATTTACTAGCTTCAGTAGGGATACGGTCATATTTATACATTTATAAAGGAAAATCTAATAAAAATATAGCACTGAGCCTCTTAAGGAAATTGCAATAGTTCTCCACTCATTTTATGCCTAGTACCACCACAAACAAGTGACAGAGCTGTAGCTCCTAAAGCAATTTTACAAGGAGACAAGTGGCTAGACAGGTGCCATCAAAACTATTCCTTGAAAATGTTTCTTCCTCCTTTCACCCCATCAGGGAAAATTCAAATCTGAAAAAAAATGTTATTTAGTTCGGGAGTCAAGTATGAAGTGCTGGTGTTAATTCAGCACAAGGTAATCTTTCCAATTTTATTATCATGTACAAAGCTTTACTTCAAATGTTTCTGTGAAATCATCAAGTTTCCTACCATCCTCCAAGAGCAATGTGACAGAGATTCCAGCAAGGAATGACAATGCTGGGCAAGTGTTGCTGTAACTGTTGGCACCCCTAACTGGGAGGAAGATCAGGAATTATGGACAGGGACTCCCAGCTCAAAATGAAGTCAGTAACTTAGCGAGGTACCAAAAGACACCTGGCTCCAGGAGTCTTGTGCTGTTGGTTAAAATAGTTCAACACTCAGATGTAGATCCACAGACACTGACACAGCTACTGAAGATTTCCTCTGACAATGGAAGTCCATTTCTTAGAGGTAAGTAATAATTACAGAGTGATGATTTGAAAAGAGCTTTTCATGCTAAACTAAATCAATACAAGGCAAAACTCAGGCTGATAGCAAAGACATGCAAAAAATCATGCAAGCTGTTATGGGATAGTTTTTTTACCAGCATCTCCTTCTGAATTCTAAGGTCTGATTATGGACTTACACCACCCTCAGCAATTGTTTGAAATACTGCTTAGAATTAGTTTGATTTCACAGCAGTTGAGAAAAAACACATTTCAGAGATTTTGCATGCAATAAACCAGAAAAACATGAAAAAAGAAAACCTATAAAAGTATTGGTCAAATATCTGATGTAGATATGGTTTGTGGCTTGCATGATTCCTCAGCTAATTTAATTTTTAAAGAGTTTTCACAGCTTAAGATTTAATTATTCATTCTGAAGCAACAAGCAAAATATGAAACCCTACAATGAAAATCACAGTTCATATTATTATTTTAGTAGTTACACAGTAAAGAGTTCTAGACACTTGGCTGCTAAATAAAACAATAGGTCCTAAAGAAAGGACTGAAATCCCAGATAAAACCAAATCTGACAACCTGCATCTAATGTTAACAGTAATAGAAAGTGAAAGGGCCCATGCTGTTACACTAGGTGAGAACCACAGTTATTTCAGATCTTGTCTGAAGTTCTTAATCCAGGTTGCTTTAGAGTTCACATTAAAGTTTAAAAAAGCGCTCAGTTGTTTTTTGAGAATTACGAGTTTGAGCCATTCAGAGTCCAATAAAACCTATGCTTAACTGGGTTATGAGAAATTCTGAGTATGGTGGTGGCTTTGCCACATTCTGGTGGTGGCTTTCCCACATTCACTGGCACTGCATGAAACAAGAGGTGTAAAAAGGGGTCACCACTGTGATTTCAAGGGTATGGGGTAAACCACAGCCCTGATTAACCAGGACTGGCAATCCTGTGTGCAGCCTCTCCTCAACATCTCAGCATGTGCACAGCTCAGTGCGTGGCACAGGCACAAAGAGCCCCCACAGCAGCAGCACTGTCCAGTTTTTAAGGGAATTTGACTTGAGTGAGATTTTCTCAGGTTTTGTTCCCTGCCAGCACACACCAGTCTGCTAAGAGAAAACAGCAAGTTAACAGTGGGAGACCCAAGGGTCTGACAGCCTGAATTGCAAAAGTGGAGGTGGGAGCTGGGCACTTCCATAGGCAGAGTAATGCAGCTCAGAATTGAGCCTTCCCTCTTCTCTCACCCACCTGAACCATGGCAGCTTTACCATTAAAAAGGGGAGGCTGCTTTCCAAAGTGCATTTCCCACCTGCTGCCCAGTCCCACACGGCTGGATGCTGTGTGTGAGCCAGGGCAGAGGGACAAACGTGTGTGACAAATCACACACTGAAGGCAGTCGACTTGGGGACTTCATCAAGGGCCCTGAACAACTGTGCTGCACTCAGGGGAGGATGGCATTAAGTTAGATAACAGCACGGCTGACCATTTATCTACCAAAAAGGAAAGCACTAGCAGTGCCAAGAAATTGTTCTCCCTTTGAGATTAATTTCTCTGCATGTTACTGCCCTAAGAGATTGGAGAATGGCATTTTCACAGTGCAGCTTTAGTTAATCACCTCCCTAAAGCCCACTGTCATTATTAATTCATTAAGTAACATTTATTAATTAATGTTACTAAAGTGTTTATCAAAGCATATTAGACCTAGTAGCCATTCATTTAATACAATGAATAGAGAAAGACTCTGATTTTAACTTTTTCTTTTTTAGTGCCACAGAGAAAACAGTAATTTCTAAACGGTAGAAAATAATGCCTTTATTCTTTACTGGATTAAGATCTTTTCACATTGATGGGTGCTTCTGTTGTTAACAGAAGAAATCTTGGAACTGTCTTTTCTTCCTGTTTCACAAAACTTGGTTTGACAAAAATATTTTTTGTGACAAGCAGCATAATAAGAGTCTCCTGAAGAAGATATCTTAAGAGATCCATAATACATCTACGTATTACTGCCTCAGGAACAACAGCTTACTTGCTTCAGTGTACGTACACAAGTACTCTGTTTCATTATTCCTAGATTATCTAGGAATAATCTGTAAAGAAAGAAAACCTTCACAAGAGGACATGAAAGACCTGTCACCCTGTTAAATAATTTCCTTTCTCCTGACTGCAGTAGAAACAGGCAGGTGCTCACAAAGACCCCTTATGCTGGTCAGACACTAAGGCAGATCTGTCTTCCTGACCACTGCAGGTAACACATGAATGGATAGGCTGAGGCCTGAGACAATGCTTGGCCACCAGAGTTTTCATCAGAATGTAACAACAAAATATTACTAACAAACAAATCTACCCATGTTATTGCATTGTTCAGCTGCAGCATTTGTTCCGCCACCTTCTGGAGTAATGACTGAGTGAAGTCTGGGTGTCTGA